AGCCTGTTCCTGTGACTCACTCCAGCACATGGCCAGCTGATGGGCTTGTCCTGGGTCAGAGCCTTCAGGAGGCCCGACAAGTCAGCCCTTTGTGTTCTTGGAAGCTGGCCACTGACCACATAAGAACTTCAGTCCCAGCACTTGGCAGGCAGAGGCAGGAGAATCTCTGTGAGTTCAAGGCCAGCCTGCTCTATAGAGTGAGTTTTGGGACAGCCAGGGCTACACAGAGAACCTCTGTCTCAAAAACAAAAACAAAAACAAACAAAACAAAACAAAACAAAACAAAACAAAACAACTAACTGCCCAGTGGGGAAAGACCGTATGAAAGTGCCCTAAAGAAGGAGATGCCATGTAGAAAGATACTGCATGGATCAACCAGGTGAGTGAACATAGCGCTTCTGAGCCCAGCCCAACAGCCTCCTGGACTCAGTCCTCAGCTGCCATTGGACTGCAACTCTCTTGCTATAAGTGTTTGCCAAGGTGATCTAACAGAAGGACAGCACAGCTGAGCTCTGTCCACTCAGTCACATAGAATGAATTCTGGGGTGCTCTGCCACCTAGCAATAGAAACACCATCTCTTCACTGCCCACAGCACAGCCCACTAACTCACATACCTACCCCTCATAACCTCCTGCAAAGCAATTTCGTGAGCCCCGTGTGAGAGAAGAGGGAAAGGAGAGGAGATGGAGTTCAAGAATTACCCTCTGCACCCCACCCAGTCCCACTGACAAGCACTGACATGGTCTGTGTTTGGGACATTGCATTTTGAATGGCCACAGCAGAACCCCAGAAGGTGGGTAATTTATAGAATAAATACATTTTTCATGGTTCTGGAGGCTGAGGAGTCAGGTGTTGGGGTGCCAATATCTAGTGGGTTCTTTTTGGCATTCTCCCACAGCAGAAGACAGAGGGAAATAAAAGGGCAAACTCTCAAACTCTATACCTTCAGGCCTCTTTCTAACTGGCATCAATCTATTCATGGGGGTGGCGCCCTCAGAACCTAATACGGCCTGACATTGCCATGCTCCAGTGCTGAGTTTTCAATTCAGTCTTCGGGGGACACAGCGTGAGCAGTAGCTCTCAGGACTAGACCTGCTGAATGGACCTTGCCACTGCCCGAAGGAAAGCTCTGTCGTGCCTGGATTCCGATCTTATCACCCTCCTGAAATCATTACCCCAAATGCTGGGTCTTTCTACTGAGGTCTTACACCATCCTTTACATCTCTAACTTCCACCCAAACTAAGAACCGGCCGAAAGGAATTCTTGAGTCTAGTTAGGCCTTCCAGGCTGAGCCTGCCCAGCCCATGTGCCTACTCTAGTACCATGCCTGGCTCTCCGGGTCTTCCCGGACATAGAAAGTCCACCTCGCCGCTCTATCTACCTTCCCCAGGAGCTGGCCTTCGCCCTTGAGGGCTGGTGGGAATCCCCCTTCATGTGGGTCCCCAAGTGAATGGAAGTGGACCTGGAGCCTAGCTTGGACCTGACATGTACCCCACAGCCTCCAGCCTGGCCGCTTCTTCCCCATCCATTTACTTTTCTTCTGTTGTGTTGGTAGAGTTCTCTGCTGTTCCCCTTCTTTGTGGCTGAAGGCGCGTGCCATCAAGAAAGGCTGTTTCAGCCGCTCTCATTGACACCACAGCCAGCTTTGGGTGTCAGCTGTTAGGGTGATTATGGTTGGGGTCCTAAAGGTCCCCCTAAAGTTCCATATGCTAAAGATTCAGTTACCAGCCTGTGGCATTCCTAGAAAGTGGTGGAACCTTTGAGAAGTAGGTCCTCATAGCAAAGAGGGAGAGTTAGGCTACCACGCCTCCTTCCTGGCTACTATGAGATGGTCTCCTTTACTGTATACTCAGAATTTTACTGGACTAAGAACTGGCCATGCTGAGAACTCCAAACCCAGGTTCAAAATACACCGTTCCACCCTTGCAAATATTATCCCAGGTGCCTTGTCACAGCAGCAGGAAGCTGATTGGCTTAGTCCTCATACCTTTGGGAGAAGAGTTGTCCTGTGAAGGGTTGGTCACATCTTGAGTAACCCGGACCCCTCTGACCTGGGTCCCTGGATCCCATGTTTTCCCATGTGAGCTTAGGTCCCCTCAGTCCCCCTTCTGTAAGCCAGATATTCACTGCATCAGTTTACTAGTTCCTGGGAGTCTTGACTAGAGATTGCCCCAGTGACCAGGTCCTCCTGGACCTTGCTTTCATCTGAGGCTGGCCACCCCCAAGGCAGATATAGCTTTTCTGAGTTCTGCTTCCAATTCCCCTCCATGGTGTGTGTTTCCTGCAAAGCTGGGCCTCTAGCTTCCCATTCTTTGTCTGAACCAGGAAGAGATCTGTGGAGAGAGTCCACTTTGCAGATTCTTGTCAGTGTCTCACACCCTCCGCTAAGACACTTCCTGTTATCCCTCTTCCCACCAGAGGGCGAAAGGGACACTGTGAGGAATACCCAATTCTTCAGCTGTGTGTCCATCACCGGTCCCTTCCCCAGGAGGCTGACAGGGTCCATTCTGTTCTGACTTCTCTCCCTGCAGCAGTACCACCTTCTGAGTCTAGAGGCTCTCCCTGCTCGTTCTCCCTAGCTGCTGCCGTGCTCTGTAGTCACAGGATTTCACACACCTGACACTCTACCCACTGGCACTCCCCACTTTAGGCCACTGTCTGTGAGACTCAGCCTGCCCCGAGAGACTCCATGGCATGCTCTCTGCCATGCCTCCCTAGCTCTCTGCCAGCGACCCAGCTTATTCTCATGGGAGGTTGCAAGCCACCAAGCACCTGATCCATGAACCTGCTGTTGAGAACAGTACTTGGCCAGGTCCTCCCTCACCCCCACCTTTGGGGAAACCAAAGCTGGTTATAGGTGAATTCAAACTTCAGGGTTGGCCGGGTTGGCAGTGGTGGTCCATGCTGCCCCAGGATGCAACTCTCCTCCCTTTGGCCCCAGCACTGCAGGTCATTCATATTAAGGATCCTGTCCCCAACATGCTGACATCAGGGGCATGCCCACCTTTCCCCACATACATCAGTCTGTCCTTCCTTTATCGACCTTTAGCATGGCTGAGCCCAGGTGATGGGGTTTCAAAATACACACAGTTTATTCAGCCACCTGGTTTGTTAGTCTAGCATGCAAACAGGACTCCTTGGGTGACAGACTTGAATTTCTCATGCACTCATGTCTGTAAAATGAGGACAGTGCCAGATACGGTGGCACAAGCACTCAGGGACAGGGGCAAGAGCACTGCAAATCTGAAGCTAGCCTGAGCTACATAGCAAGGCTGTTGCTCAAGACAAATATAGCTTCCTAGGTGGAGGACAGCACTCCAATTCACAGAGCTGTCAGGAAACCTGTGATGGTGCGCATGACTTGCGTAGGTACTCTGCAAGGGGAGGGTCCTCCTGGCCACACTGAGTTGCTATTAATAGATGGGAGGGGTCTGAAAAGTCTTTAGATACCAGAGACTTCTTAGCTATGTAAGTGCCAAGGGATGCCACAGGCACACCCAGGCCGTCCCAGATGATAATTCTGCTTTGTCTCCTGGGCCTGTTCATGCTTCCCTCCCTCCCGCAGGGAGAAGCAGCCACACTCTGTTCCTATGAATCCCCACCCAAAACAGCTGGCTGAATCCAGCCAGGAACACTTCTCACCAGACAGACAATCACCAGGCAAATTTCCACATCAGTATTTCCTGGGGAAATGTGGTCACCAAAAGAAGTCAAAACACATCCCTCAGAGCTCTTTCACCAGGAGGCTCAAGGTCTCCATGTGAAAAGACACTTCCATTATTAATTATTATTATTTTAGTGTAGCCCTCAGAGGTTGAACTGGGAAAAGCAGAGAGCCAAATCTGAGCCTCTCCTGAGGATACAGGTGCTGGGAGCACACCCTGAGCGCCCAGAGCTGCCTCAGCTAAGACCCCAGGAAGCTCCTTCCTGTCTTGCGCCCAGGAACACTACTCATCCATTCAGCGCAAGTTTATTTTCAGGATCCGTGAGAACCTTCCATCGTGTGTTTCCAGAAGGCCAGGCAAACAAGTGCTGCCACCGGTCACTCGCCAGGCCTCCCCACTCTACAACCGTCTCACCCGCAGCTCCCCACCTCACCCTGGCCGAGTGACATGTGACATTTTCATTCAAAATTTGCTACTTTGTTCATAAGTAGGTCCCAGTAAAAGATACATTTGCTCCCTTATTTAGGCTGGGTTTTTCCCAAAACCTAGGAATACTTAAACAACTGAGGATGAGTGCTAGGCTAGCCTTAATGACAATCCTGGGGTCAGAAGCCTCTCAGTAAGGGCTGAAAAATACCTCCCCCACCCCCACCCCACAATACACACAAAGGACTTTAGAAACTTAGGCTCTCCCTCAGATTGTGACCATGAGCTCAGTGATTAGAGGCCAGAGAGGCCTCGCAATTGTCACCCAGACAATAAACAGCCAGCTGACTTGGCTCAGCATTCCTATGTAGCCTTGGGGCCCGAGCCAGATCCCAGGAACAAGCCACTTTAGGGTACTGAGCCTGGAGGAGGGGGCGCCGCCTGGGGTCTAGCTGCATCCCCCGGTCAAGCCTGCAGCAGCTCTGCTCTGGCTCACTTGCTATCTGGTGCATCTCAGCTGACCAGCAAGTGGGCGGCCCGGGGACAGCCAGGCAGTCCGCCCCCGGACAGCATGACTGACCACTAGTCCGCTGGAGAGGCGGGGTTATGGGGCCACCTTCCCGAACCCCCGATCCCTTCCATCACCCGAGCTCCTTGCCAAGACCACCGAGCTCGGCGGCCCCTTGGCGGCCCCTGTCATCCGCGGCAGCGCGCCCTCCTGCTCCAGAACTCGCACAGGCAACAAGTTCTCGCTTCTCCAGAGCGGCCACGACGTGCTCGGGAGGCCGGCTGCGAGGGGAACGCTGCTCACGCCCCAGAGCCTCCCCTCACCCCCGCCACCCTTCGTCCCCCAGAGCGCTGAAGCCGGGAGGGCGGCGGGTCCCCGACCCCAGCCCTGGCCGCTCACCTCCAGCAGTTGCACGTAGCTGGCGGGGAACCAGCCACGAAGCCCGTCGTCCTTCTCGCCTTCCCACCAGCCGCCGTCCGGGACCTGGAGCAGCGTGAGCAGCTCTCCCGCTGCGAAGCGCAGCCCCTGGCCGTGCCGCTCCCCGGAGAAGGGGTACAGGGTCCGGCAGCGAGCGCCGGCCATGGCCCTGGCGCCCGGGTTCACAGCGCAGCCCGCATCCCTGCCGAGCCCCGCGGGCTGGCCAGCGGCTGCGCGGGGTCCCAGGCGCCCGGTGCTCCTGGCTCCCGCGCTCTGGGCGCGCGCCGTGGCGGGGCTGCGCAGGGGTCCCCGGGCCTCCGGGCCACGCGCGCTGCTTGCAGGGGAGCGGACCCTCTCCAGCCGCGCTGGCTCCGTGGGCTCCGTGGGCTCCGGAGAACGAGCGGCGACGCCCCCGGGCCGGGCGGCTCTGCGGTCCCCGCGCCGGGCGGGGGGCGGGGCTCAGGGGGGAGGAGACCCGGGGGCGGAGGGCTCACGAGACAACTTCCTCGGGCTGCGGGGGCTGGGGACTCCGGAGTGCGCGGAGGGGCGCAACTGCCTCGGGAGGTGGTGGCCGGAGCATCCCCCTCGGCGGGGCTTGTCCGGGACGAGCGGAGCCCCGGAAGACGCGAACAGAGCGCGGCTGGCGGCCGGTGGCCGGGCGGGGACTCTCTGGAGGCGACCAGGGCGGGCCAGGGGCCGGGCCAGAGCGGCCACGCCCGCGGAGGGCTGGGCGCTCCCTGGCAGAGGGGCTCCCCGGCGACCCTAACACCCAGGGCCGCTGGAACGGGAACGCCCCTCGGTTTCCTCCCGTTTGGATCTGGTGGAGGGTGACAGGCGGCGCTGCCTCCCAGGTGTCTACAAGCGAATGTGTTTGTGACCATCATTGCGGTGCATGAAGCCTGGCTGAACTTGACTCACAGGAAACTGAACAATGGATAAAGACAGGTTTGAAGCCTGGCGCCGAAGCAGGGAAGCCCGGGGACAGTGCCACCTAAGAGGGGGACGACGCGATTGGGGAGATGAAGAGGAGTCTGGGTTGGTAGGCTTTGAAATCAGGCCGACGGGACTAAATATTGGAAAGGCCGAATAAAGGCGAGAGCCCTATTAGCTTTCCGGGTTATGGTTAGGGGTTGTGGATGTCACAGTCTAGCCCTCCTGAATTCAAGATGGGCCTGCTGAGGAGTGTCCACCCATTTAGTCAGCCGCCAGGCATCAGCAGGGTCTTGCCGTGTTCCCTGCAACGGCTAGGTAAGACCCGTCCTTCCCTTGAGGCAGGCGTCCACCTCAAGTGTACTTAAAGTCCAGAGCACAGAAGGAAAAACGGCCCATTTCTTTGCTAGCTTAAGCGTCAAAGTACGTTTCCTAATCTGTGAATAGCTGCACCATCGCTGTTTTAATCAGCTGAGCATCCCTAATCGGAAAACCCGCAGTCCCCAATCCAGACAGTGTCAGTGCTAACAGGTTGTTATGGTGAAGAAGTCCACCATCAAACAGAACTGCAGCGAGGCCGTATGACAGCGACCCTGTGATCCTGGCCCCGAGAGATGAGGATGGAAAGAAGCCCAGGCTAGAATGACCCGAGAAAAGAAAAGAAAAGAGGAGAAAGAGAGGTGGAGAGGGGAGAAGGCGGGATGGATGGATGAATGGAGCAGGGAGGGAGAGAAAGAGCAGTACAAGCATCGCTGAAGATACTGTATAAAGTTACTTTCAGCTGTGTGTACTCGTTTCAGGTTAATTTTAATGTTAGGCTTGGGTCACAGTCTCAAGGCATTGTATTGTGCATATGCAAATATTACAAAATCCTCAACATTTTTGGTCCGAAGTTTTTCTTTTTCTTTATTTCCTTCTCCCCCACCCTTTGACAGAGTCTTCCTATGTAGCCCTGGCTTGCCTAAAGCCATGCAGACCAGGCTGGCCTCTTAACTCACAGAGATCTGACTGCCTCTGATTCCCACCAAGCTCTTCTGATGAGCTGATGAGACATAGACAGCCTATAGTTCTTTTTTAAAATACAATTTTTATTTATTACAATTTGTTCAATTTATATTGCCAGCCCATAGGTCTCACCAACTACTCATGCCCATTGCTCAGTAACCTTGTATGGCTTCTTATGGGCTATTCAGCTGTGTGTAAGCTTTTAGGATCTTCATGACAAAGTCAATTCATTCATATTTGTTTGAGCTTTGAATCAGGTCCCTTTAGCTCAGTGGTTCTCAGTCTTGGCTGGACATTAGAACCATTCCTGTAGCATTTCAAAACACAAAGCTGGGCCCACCCCAGCCTCGAGAGTGTCCCCTGAGCTGCCGTCTGCACTGAAGCCATCTCACCCAACGAGGATCCCGGACAACCTGACAAGTGTGCGTTTTAACATCCATCAGGCACCAGCCGACGTCGTCTGCTCTTCCAGGAATTATGGTGAGCAAAGGCTTCAGCCCTGTTGCCATTAAGAATCTGATACAGAAAACAGTTGCTAAATTGAGAATGATGTCTTCCATCTGTGATCCCAGCATTCGGGAGGCCGAGGCAGAAAAACCACCGAAAAGTTCAAGGTCAGCCTGAGCAACATAGTGAGGTCCAGGCCATGTGGGCTGCAGGTGTGAGTCTCAAAAAGACAAAACATTAGACAAAATAACAACGAAAGCTTGCTAGACACCAGTGGAAATTACCATATTTTAAAAGAGTTCCAACACTCTGCCTCAGTCAGGTCCGTGGCTTTTTGCAAACTGCTCAGACTTGATGGTGTGGTCTGTTCAGTAAAAACTGACCGGTTTAGGGCCATCCTGAAAGGAAGAATTACAGAGAATTCAGCCACCATGGCATCAGGGATTCTTGGCAACAAAGGACCGGTTTCAGGCACTCCCACTGATGGGTGACGTGGTGATATACACGTTAAGAAGGAAGAAACTGAGCCCGTGGCAGCAGCATATGCCTGTGATCCCAGCACTGGGGGAGGGAGGCAGAGACAGGTAGATCTCTGTGAGTTTGAGGCCAGCCTGGTCTACAAAGTGAGTGCAAGACAGCTGTGGCTACACAGAGAGACCCTGTTTCAGAAAAAAAGGGGGGGGTGGGGAGAAGAAACTGAATTCAGAGAATATGACTTGCCTGTGCTCATAATGGATAGTCGGCCACAAAACAAGGCTTTGAACGTGGGTTTGGCTTACTGTATCTGGAGTGCTGTTTCCTCTGGACCTTCTGCCGGTCAGGCTAAGCAGGCCAGGCCCAATAAAGGACTGGGGGTGTGGCTCCGTGGTACAGTTGTCTAGCATTGGCAAGGTACTTGATTCCATCCCCAGCATCATGAGAAAACAATGCATACCTTAGAGTTCACACCAGGGAGTATCTCTGCAGCTTCTCTGGAGATGGATGCTGTCAGGCTCACCTACAGTCTCAGCACTTAGGAATTTGAGGCCAGGGTGGGCCACATAGTGAGACAAAGAGGACAGGAAGAGAGGGAAGGGAGGAGGGGGCTGGAAGAGGAAAGGAAGGGAGGGGGAACATAAAGAGAAAGGAAAAAGACAGGAAGGACGGGCTCTGTGGGGCAAGACTCTGAAGAGGGAGAGTGCTTGGATGGTGGGTAGTGTCAATCAGTATAGAAATAAGACTAGAAGAGCAGGGAGAGGTACAAAAATAGAGGTAGAATGGCCAGGCATGGAGACACAGGCTGAGGCAGGAGATGCTACCTCCAAAGGAAACTAAACACCAGGGAGCTGAGAATTCAGCTCAGTCGCTGGGGATGCAGCTACATTGACAGAATGCTCACCTTGACCACACGAGGCCCTGGATTTTACCCCAGGACCTCATGAGTCTAGTTTGGTGATGTGCACTTGTAATCCCAGCTGACACAAGCAGGAGGGCTGCAAGTTCAAGTCAACCTGAACTGTAAGGTGAGATTGCTTCGAAAACCAAGGCCTCTAATGCTTAGCATGGGCAAGGGCTTAATCCTCAGTGCAAAAGAAAAGGGGAAGAAGGAAGGGAGGGAAGAAACACTATACACCCCCACAAAGCCTGTGTGGCAGCACAGCAGCCTAATAGCGAATTGTGGAAGTGACCCGCTGGTTCATGCCAGACAAAATTCAGAGCATCTATCTACCCAATGTGCCATAGAATGGTTACTGGGCTTCGAAGAGAATGACGTGCCAACACACCACACGTTCCAGCACAGACAGACTTCAAAGCCACTACGCAAAAGCTTCCAGATGTGAAAGGCCATGGGTTCTATGATTTCTTTATGTGAAATATCCCCAGAGTAAGATCCATAGAGACAGTAAATAGATTGGTGGTTGCCTGGGGACAGGAGTAAGCAAAGAAACACAAGGTTTCTTTTGGGGTAGTGAAAATGCTCCCAAATTAGATTATAGTAATGATTGCACAATTCTGTAAATCGCTGGATTGTACACTTGAAACAAATAGATTTTTGGAATGTAAAGTACACCTCAAAGCTGCAACATAAAACAAAAATAAATACAAATCAAGGCCTCCTTCACCTAGCCAGTATATTTTTCTCCACCTCTGCATACTAGTTCATTCAGCAGCAGCCCTAGGAGCTGCTCGGTACGCTCTGTAAGATGAGGGCTGTGGAACACGCCTGTGATCCCAGCGGTTGGAACCCTGAGGCCTGAGGATCATGAGTTTGAGGCCAGCTTGGGTTATAATGCAATGTCAGGTCAACCTGGCCTGTGTACCAAGACCTAGCTCAAAAACAAAAAATCAAACATGTAATAAAGTAGGTAACACCCGATCTTAAAAAATAAAGAGAAACACAAAGAGCAACTTAGAACACGTAAGGAAAATATGGATGGTTGTCTTAGTCCAGTTTGCCTTACTGTAACAAGACAACAGTGTTTTGTAAAGAAAGAAGTGGGGGGGGGCACACATTTGTAATTCCAGCACTGAGGATACAGTTGCCATGAGTCTGAGACCAGCTTGGCTTATGTAGTGAGTTTTGGGTCAGCCAGAGCTATATAATAGGACCTGTCTCAAAAGGGAGATAAGAAGAAGGGAAATCATGAAGGGAGGAAGGAAGGAAAGAGATAGATAGAAAGAGAGAGAGAGAGAGAGAGGCTTACTTTTGCTCACAAGTCTCCCCCTTAGAGTGCATCCGGTGACTTCTGGTGAGGGGACATCTGAGGGGACGTCTGAGCTAACTTTCCAAGCAGGGCAGAAAG